TTTTTTATTCCTTTTAAAGAAATTTTCCTAACTGGTAAAATAACATTTACCAGTGAGGACAATTTCTTTAAAAGGAATAAAATTTTGAGTAAATACTGCAAGAGTCATCATTAAATGACTCATACAGTTCCATGCTGTGATTAACCTGCTATCTCCATCTATTCATTTTTTAAAAACATTAACAATATTGTTACGTCCAAGCTCCGCATGCATGGAGCTGAAGGGATGAACGCAATGGGAACCGAATTATTAGACCAATTTGGTCGTGTCCAGACTCCGGACCGCAAGGAAGCAGTGAGGAAGGACCGACGCAAATCGGGAGGCACTTCGCTTCGTCCTGAGGCTCCTAACAAGCCGGGGGTCGAATGAAGGACGAAGTGGAAACCTCAACTCGTGCATCGCTAAACGGACACACGAATCGGACGTACTTTTAATTTAAAGGGCCCAAACTGTATCAGTGTGCCAGAAGGGCGCACTGGGTCAGATGTGTCAGTACGTCCATATGCCCTGGTTTTCGGTTATGGAACTTAATCCAAGTGACCGGGGAGAGGAAGTGCAACCGCAGGAGAACTAATGAATACAAGGAGAAATTTTATTTAATTGACAAATGAGGGTTAATTTAATAATACTATAATAAAAGCAATATTTGGTAATACATTTTCTCAAGCATAGAAGTACAATTTTTGTTTCTCTATTCTGAAATATATGGTCGTACGCATTTATGTATGTGTGAGAATGTGTGCGCGCACGCATGTGTGTGTGTGTGTGTGTGTGCGCGTGCGTGCGTGCGTGCGTGCGTGCGTGCGTGCGTGCGTGCGTGTGTATGTGTGTGTGTGTGTGGAAAGAGAGTTGTAATGCGGACGTTATTTTGAATATGGAGAATTTGGAAGGAGAAGGGCAAAATTAAAATTGTGTAGGGTCATATGATTGGAGGAAAAGAGGATCGATGGGAATGAGGGATGGTATGGGGACTGGAAATAGGCAACTGGATCTCGCGATGCTGACTATTACACGGTCAGTGCAAGGGATAAAATAGGACATATATTCCAATAATTGATGGGCATTATGAAAGAGGAAAAGAAGGTGACCCAGGGGGAGAGTAAGTCGGTTTGAACATGAGAAATTGAAGAGATGGTATGCGAGACGAAAAGTTCTTCAATAGAGGGTGGTGATACCGGATGTGGAACAGGAGGAGGACTGGACGGAAAAAGATCATTAAAGAAATCTGAGGATATATCGAAGACAGGGGAGTAAGATATTTCTAGTAGTGGCGATAGAATCGAGACTGGAGACTGAACAACCGCAGTCTGTTCTTGGACCGATGCCTGAATTAGCGAAGATTGTTCTCGCGAGTTTTTCGCGGTGTAAAAACGGATAAGGGCGGTGAGTTGGCGTGCAATGTTAGTTCCCGCTAGGTGACGATGACGAGGGGCCGAAGAACTGCGTGAACGCACTAAAAATTTGGTCATTTTTAAAGTGGGACTACACAAGAAGAAGAGGGACCACCCAATGTACTGCAGCGAAACCAAAAACTTACTACTTGGGAATAGCGACGTGTAGGGTGCCTGAGAGACCGGAGAGAGTGCCGTCGACTGTGGGATGCTGGGTTTTGTCAATTTCCTCGATCAGGCAATGCCGATGATCTTAAGTTCATAGGTTTGCACTGACTCTACTGGAGAAAAAGAGCTCTGAAAATCGGATGAAACCTTTTCCGTCAACTATAGCTTCCCAAATCTCAGAGAAAAATCACCATGAAGACCTTAAAACCGCGGTTTTTATACTAATCGCCCCCGATTACTCGGATTCGGATTGGTAGAATAGGTTTCGTTAACTAGTAGTAGAATTTTTCTTTGCTCTCGGATTGGTCCTCCCTTCCTTGGGGGAGGAAAGGATGTTGACCGGAGTCTATATGGAAAAGTGTCATCCTAAATTTTACGATCTTAAAATTTATGGGAAAACGCACGCGTCAAGAAAGCGCTCGTGCATTGTCGCCACGAGACCACCCAGAATCTACCCCTGAATGTCGTTTCTTAAAATCTCGTGAGAATCATCCGCGATTTGACCGTTAAAAAGTATCTTGGCCCCGGTCTTACGCTTCCAATGACATATTTATTTTAGTCGCAGTGTCCTAGGGGCACAGACTCGGTGTTCTTTTGGTCCCGCCGCTCGTGCACGTGTACCGATTTTTAGTTTATCTCGGAGCGACATTTACGAGGAGATACTGAATTCTTCGTTTTAATTTTTAGTGTGGGACAAGAAAATTTTTAGTTTCTCTAGACTATAACGCTTAATTTGTGCGTTATTCGTAGCTGTTTTTTTATTTCAATAAATTCCAGATCTCCACGAAAGAAAAGAGTCGTAGGAATCCGTTGGACGTAACAATGTACATATACAATACAAAGATACAAAAATAAAAAATATCTGTTGGACTTTATTAAGTGAGAACTACACTTACTATTTAAATAGATATCAAATATCTTAAACAATCATATACGATTGTAAAATAAAAACTTTAAAAATAAAAATATTTACAATTAATTGTACAATTTTTTTAAAATTGTAGCGTAATTTCTATCATAGATGTGTTCACAACAAGATGTTACAGCTGATTGAGCAGCAGTCGCTGCTGCGTGCTCAGACACGTTTACGCATGTCTCGCGTGTTTTGTTTTTAATGTAGCTTCGATTATTCTACTTACCCCTATAGTCAACTGATCTCAGTCTCCCCTAATATACGAGTATACGAATCTGGACGTAATGTACAAATCTGGACGTATTTACACTATTGTCCAGAATATTTTATTTCATCTGTCTCATACTTTAGTATACGTTCGACTATTCGGTCTGCACTTTGTATATCTAGTTGAGCGTATTTATAAACAATGGCTAACATTGAAAAGTGCTTTATTTGTGAACAGTTGGTAGGGAACGATGCGGTTAAAGTAAAAGAAAGAGGCGTGAAGACTTCAAACATCAAGTAAAAAAATAAAGGACAGAAAAGAGCAGTTTTTGAAAAGCCGAACGTCTGTGCGTATTCACGAGGCATGCCGAAAATCGTATAATAATGAAAAACTCATCGCTGCATTTTTGCGCAAAGGCGATAGTATTAGCATTCCGAGAGTAACATTACGTTCTACTGTATCAACTTTTGAATTTAAAAAAGAATGTTTTTTTGCGCAGAAGAAATAATCGAAGAATTTTTTAAAAAGCAGAAAAAAACTAACTGAATGTGACATTGTTTATGAGGTGAGAAAAATACAATTTTTAAAATTGCTTTGAAGAACAAAATGGCGATTGGGGATGCCAAAATATAGATCGTGTTAATCAAGCAGTAGATTTGGTTACGGTTGAAGCTAGATATCACAACTTGTGCATAAAGAAATTGTATGCGCCATCGAGAGCGGGTCAGAAACGAGATTAGCCGTCGTTGGACGTAGATCAAGCGATGCA